TTTCCAACTCTCTCCGAACTTATCAACCATTAAAGGATTGAAAAAGCTCCGGAGATCAAAACGTTGCTCACAATAAATGTCACATAAGTTGCACTTGTGTCCTTTACTTTACATATTGTCGGTAATTCTACCAACTTTTTTACAGTATGCACTTAAGTTTGACAAATTAGACATGCAATTGTGTCTGTGAAATGTATTATTTTCAAGTGGTGTATGACAAATGATTTTCATCTCTTAGATGTAATTACTGCTAATGCATACAAGTATGATCCAAGTTAAACCTGGAAAGAAAGCCAAAAACTATTAGTTTCCATTTGTCCCATCCATAAGATAATTCATAAAACCATGTGGATCACACATGTTGGTGTTATATTGAAAGGGGGAATCCATTTTTAGGCGAGGCCTGGTGAGCATGACCCTTGACTACTTTCCTAGACAGAAAAAGAGGACATCAAGCACGCAGAAAATATGGTTTTTCTTTTTGTGTGCACTTAATAACAGGAACAGCAGAAGATGCATGGGACTTACTTTTAACTTTCACTGGCACTTATTAAAAAAATATATATAATTTTTTATCTCTAGAATGGTGGAGAATTTTTTTTAAAGTATGTGACAAAAAAATGCAAGATTTGAAGAAAAACTTATGGAGAATTAAGCATCAAAGTAATGCATTCCTGGGCCATATTAGTTGTTATATGTATAAGTAGGTTGTAGACAGCAACCACCCTAGGAGGTAACTACTGTCCTGCCCAAGACGAGTGTAAAACGAAAGCCTGATTTGATTTAAACATGATGGTAGGACTGCTGTGTCTTTTTGTGTCTCCATAAATACACAAAGAGTACAGGTTACGTGTCTTGCTACTTTTACTTTAATAGTCACACTACAATACAAGAAACATAATTAATACTACACTCCTCTGAGTTTCTTTGATTTTATAATTAATAGTTCTAATCTTATTACTTTTTCCTTTTTATATCCATGGGGGAAGTGGAATAAGAATCTTCCTCCGTAAGCCTTGTGTTTGTAAAAATATTTTTTTTTTATCACACTGGCAAGGTGGCCCAAAAAGAAAAACATACACCATCATCACTACCATCACTGTCTTTGCCATAAGGGTGCGTTTACCTACAGTTTTTTAAAAACTCAACATTAACACCAACCCCTCCTTCAGAGTGGCAGGCACTGTACAACCAGTCCCTGGACTCAAGTCCGGCCCTGCAGGTTTCCCTGAATCCCTTCATAAATGTTACTTTGCTCACACTCCAACAGCAAACCAAGTATTAAAAAACCATTGTCTCCATTCACTCCCTATCAAACACGCCTCACTAGCACTGCCTGCTGGAAAGTCCAAAGCCCTCGCGCACAAAACTCCTTTTAACCCCCACCCTCACAACCTTTCCTAGGTCCGACCCTTACCTTACCCCGCCTTCCTTCCACTACAGGACTGATACACTTTCTTGAAGTCATTCTGTTTCCGCTCCATTCACTCTCAATGACCGAACCACCTCAAACAACCCTTCCCTCACCCTCTGTACAACAGTTTTGGTAATCCCGCACCAATCCTCCGTAACTTCCAAACTAACGAAATCTCTGCATTATAATCACCACCACATTTGCCCTCAGACATGACATCCCACCTGCCACCCATCCCTTCTCCTCGCTGCATACATTCATCACTCCATAGCTTCACACCCATAAAGATGTTGGTAAAACAATACTCACGTACATTCCCCATCAGTTCTTGAAACCTATCCAAGTGACAAAGCTCCTCCAGCCTGGACCAGAATTTACAATTCAAAAAAAACTGTACCCCAAAAGCAGTGTTTCAAAATTTGTTTGAAGTGACGCAGACACTCGATTGTCCCGAAGAGTTTTGGAAAGATCACTTTAGTATCCTCAATTGTGTAAACCTTGTAGGTAAGGCTTGGGAGGAGTGACTAAGAGGACCTTGAACTCTGTTTGGAGGAAATTGTGGCCAGAATGTGTAGAAGGGAGGGATTTTGAAGGGTTTGGGGCTACCCCTGAGGAGCCAATGCCAGTTGTGGAATCTATTGTGGCACTGGGGAAATCCATGGGGTTGGAGGTTAGTGGGGGGGGTGTGGAAGAGTTGGTGGAGGACAGCGATGAAGAACTAACCACTGATGAGCTGCAAGAGCATCTGCAACAGCAAGAGGCCACAACTGAGGAAATTGCTTCAGAGGAGGGGAGAGAGAAATTGAGGAAGTTGCCTTCTTCAAAGATTAAGGAAATGTGTGCAAAGTGGGTTGAAACTGCAAACCTTTATGGAAGAAAATCGCCCTGACACTGCTATTGCAAGCCATGCTGGTGACTTTTACAATGACAATGTTGTGAACCACTTTAAGAAAATCTTAAAGGAACGCGAGGTACAGAGCTCTATGGACAGATTTTTGGTGCAACAGAGGTCCAGTGACTCGCAAGTTGTTTCCAGTGGCATTAAAAGAAGGGAAGTAACCCCAGAAAAGGACTTGCTACCTAAAGTCCTTATGGAAGGGATTCCCCTTCCAAAAAATATATACACCTCCATCATCTCCCCACCTCCCATCCCATCACTCATCACCACATCTGCAATAAAGGTGTCATTTATTCTTCATTACATAATATATATTGTGTGCATGTTTCCTTCTTTTTGTGTGTAGGAAAATGTATATTTCATGTGGTAAAAATATTTTTTTTTCATACTTTGGGATGTCTGGAACAGATTAATTTGATTTCCATTATTTCTTATGGGGAAAATTAATTCAACCTACGATAATTTCGTCTTACGATGTGCTCTCAGGAACGGATTAATATCGTAAGTCAGGGGTCCACTGTATAAGTAAATAACTACTGTCACTGAATACATAAAACAAATAATTGCTGTAACTAAATACCAGTATTGAGAAGTAAATAAGTGAATACATGTTAAACTTACTGCCTTCATGTGGGTAATTATCCAAGTTTCTTCTCCAAAGTAATTATTTTTGCACCATTGTAAGGTAGAAATATTATGTTAAACCATCATAAGTAGGGGAGCACTTGTATAGTGGTTCCAACACTTTTACATGTATGAGGCATGGGCCTTAACCCCTTGACTGTCAAAACCCCAAATCCTGAAGTGTCTCCTGGTGTTGAAAAATATTTAAAAAAAAAAAAAAAAAAAAAAATAAAATTCTCATTAAAATGTTAAGATTATTTTTCTGATTGTTTAAAGCCCAAAAAACTTTTCTGGCATCAGTACTTACCGAGATATAGAGGCGTAAAGTTGGCAGAAAATGAGCCGCTTATGGCAACAACGGCGAATGCCGCTCGCCCATTATTTTTTTACTCTCATTCGAAGGTATCTTGCTTTTTCCACTACTTTATTTTTTCAGGTAACTTATGTGGCCTGTGAGACCAAAGTAAGGTGTAATGTACATATATACACTCGTATACAACACAATAAGCACACAAACATAATTATCAATATATTGTTTACAAAACTTACTTAAAGAAACAATACAAAAATTGTTTAGTACTATTGTTCTATAATATATATACACATATATAGACACTGCACACTTTCATATAACTGTTATTATCTCCAGCAAGCTTGTGTTGTGTGTGTGTGTGTGTGTGTGTGTGTGTGTGTGTGTGTGTGTGTGTGTGTGTGTGTGTGTGTGTGTGTGTGTGTGTGTGTGTGTGTCTCCGGCAGCTGTCAAAATGACATATTGTATCATTACTCTCTCCCCCTACTGTACGTCAAAACAGTGGGGTCGGATGATAGTTCCCTCCATCCTCCTGCCTAGGTACTGTATCTTTCTCCTTCATTCTCTCTCTCATTCTTCATTCTCCTTCATTTTTCTCGTATCCTGGACAATGCTTTTGGTCACAAACTCCTCAAAACCATGAAATTGATCTTCACTGACACCTCCATCTGTGTTAGAGCATTACTTGGGAAGAGAAGAGTCCCAGATTTGCCGGGGAGTCAGATATTTCTTACTGCTAGGCATGATGAACAAGGACTACTGAAATGGCATTCCCACAATGCACCACTGGCTCCCCGATTTATTTATTTTTTTCATATGGTGCACACTGACCATGGAGACCCATTCTGTCACATGTGGGCCTACCAGCTTTCTCCTGCTTGATTTGAAGCCGCTAGAATTTTTGTGTATTAATGTCAAACACGGTGGCTCATAAGATGTATGCATATGACCGAAACAGTCAAAGGGTTAAATGTTGCAGCAAGGAGGCTAGCAACATTGGAAATGTCATGGTATGAGAGCAATGTTGTGCAGAGAATTTAGTGCTGAAATTAGTGTGTGGGGTTTTGAAATGTATAATTCAGATAGTGGAGAGGGTTGAGGTGGTTTGGGCATTTAGAGAATGGAGTAGAGTTGGAAGGGATGGTTGTCCCCAGGAAGGATTAGAGGAAGGGGTAAAGGAAGTTTTAGTACACGAGACTAAATCAGCCAGCAGGCTTGCAAGAACACATTCAATCAGATTTGAGTGGAGACAAGCATTTTTATAGCTTGATGTACTGTTGGAGTGCGACTGAGGTAACATTTACGAAGAAATTCAGGATAATCGGTAAGCCATTCCAGAGTACAGTGCCTGCACTCTGAAGAAAAAGGGGGGGGGGATGTTGCAGTTTAGTCATTTAAATTGTGATATTTGCACAATTCTTGCACTTTTAGGAACACTTGTTTAATAATGCCATAATCCCTGGCTATAATGGGCTAATGGTGGGGGAGATTATTTGGCCATGACCATTAAAAAAAAAAAAAAAAAAAAAGTATTCTGTAACCCACAAACTTTATTGTTCCCCAATCAGTTGATCCTAACACTTTTCCCATCCAGAGTTCATTAATTCGATGGTTTACTATAGTTGTTCTTGTAATGTTGCCTTTCAGATTTGGGTAGCCTGGTTTGAGATGGGCCCAAGGTGTGATCCTCTGGCATTTTTAACAGATAACCTATTGAGACATCAACAAGGCTATAAAATTATCTTGATTTTCAGGAAACTAAGAAAGTAGCCGCCTGCCGTTTTGATTGGCATCAAACTGCTACCCATGTGTGTGTCGCAGTCTATGCAAAGCTTTCTGATCCTGCACCTACTTACGTGGAAGCTAACCCTATCAGACTCAATGCAAACATTGTCTTTGGAGATGAAAACGTGTTCACGTTGGATATCGAGCTTACTGGGGTAAGTTGAAAATGGTTGGTTGTATTAGAGTAGGACAAGGGTATAATCAGTGTTATCTATATAGGTTATGTGTAAGTTAAGGATTGTTCCTGTTAAGAAAAGGGCCCATAGACATTCTCCTGGTAATTTTTTAACCTTTGAAGTTTCATACACATATTTTGTTATCTGTATTCTGTATATACTCAAAGGAAAATTTTTCCATAACACTCCATAATCACTTTAATGCCAGTGAAACACTTTTGAACCATTTCCCAGGTGCTGTATAACCCTTAAGGATTTAGCACTCCTTTTGAATTTATTTAAAATAATAATAAAAATCCATTATAACTTTGTCCTATTATAATAGATGGTATAGTTAAGATGTACAAGCAGCAATTTGAACCTTTATTAAGGCATTTCCAGTTATTTCTTATCGACTACAACTTGTCCCATTCTTTGAACTTTTGTTCCAACTTGCATTATCATCATTCTGATTTTCTACATTTACTTTATGTGCAACTGTTTTCCTGACATACTTTAGTAACCACTTTTTTAATTTTCTTCTCTTATATAACTGTCATATGTAGCATTCTAGACTGGAAATATCCTTGTTATATGGTGGAGTTGTAAAGTTCAGTACTGTACTGTACTGTACCAATAGATTACTAGCATTCTACTAATTGAAAGAACCCAGTGTTGTAATAGAGCTGTAATTAACTTATCATATGCAAAAGCGGGTGATGCTATGCCAACTTGGTTCCTTTCAGGAATTACCAGTAATAGAATACAATTTTTAGTTTCATTCTAAATTTTGTATTTTCTAAAAGTGTGTTACACAAAAGCTTAGGAAACCCTTATACTTCAGTTTCGTTTATATTTACAGTTGATTGACGTGGACCAGAGCAGCGTATGTTTAGCAGCATCCAAGGTGGAAATCAAACTTAGGAAAGCAGAACCATCAAGCTGGCGCACACTGAACATTGAAAGAGAACAAACTTCTAATAACAAGACCGACGACGAGAAAGCCGATGAAAAAGCTGAAGGTGGCCTAGAACAAATGGTTGATGCAGTTGACCTTAGTGATCTTTGAAGGTAGTATTACTTTTAGGATAGCTTATATTGATTTTAAAGTATGTGCAATAAGAGACCTTGATTTCTTCATGAACAGAGAAGAGATACCAGTAGGTGCATTTTTATTACCCTTAAACATGCAGATTTGTTAATAGGGTGAGCATATTAAATTTGTATATTTTTGATCATTTTAATTTTTTAATGTTATACAGAAATAATTTATGTCCTCCAGTAAGTTGTGATTCTTGGCTTTTTGTCAAGATGACAAAATATGTGATCATGCAAGACTATTAATAATAAACATGTTAAAGGAACTTGTAATTTTTTTTTTTAATTCCTTCAGTTTAACTTAAATATCATAGTTCAACAGTTGGTCTTGGGTCTCCTTTGTAGACACTAGCATGAAAAGGTGGGTGGCCTCTGGTTCCTCATTTGTTGAATTTTTTACTTTACTTTTGTTGAAAACAGTTACAGAAGTCTTGATTGGGGGTAGTGTGTGAGCATACTATTGAAGACTCCTTCAAAATTTTGTGGAGTTGTCTAAAATTTTGGAATGTCTGCAAAGTTTTGAGTGTTTCTTGAAACTCGCTTGGATTGCCAACTTTTAATCCAATATATGGCTTGCTGAACGGTCAGTGTGATTTCCATCATGCGAATTCCATCTCCTTTAACCCTTTCACTACCACGACCAGCAGAATTAAGTCCCACCAATGTCACCTTTACCTTCTATGCATTCTGGCTCCTTGGGTCAGGCTTGTCTGGTGCTGCTGCTGGTGGCCCACTTACCCCCATATCCATCACAAAACCCGGTGGATTTGGGATCTGGGATCTGGCACCTGGTGAAGATACTTTTCCAGTTTCTGATATCGTCTGGTGAGGTGCTGAATAGTCTGGGGCTACAGACATTAACACTGTTCCCTTATTGTGCCCACTGCACCCCTACTTTTCACTGGATTCATTTGCACTTTCTCCCATATCTCTCACTCCAGTTTATGGCAGTGTGAAGATTTGGGTCAAGAACCCTCTAGCACTTTCCAGGTATGTATCATCATGATTCTCCTCCACTCCAATGAGTACATATTTAGGACAAAGGCATTCCCAGTAATTTAAATGCTTTATTGTACCATCTCCTATGCTCTTTTTATCTAATCTAGGCTTGGTCAGTGGTGCATATTTAATACAGACCTTGTATGCTTTTCCAGGCACTGGTGAGGATTTAGGGTGCTCATGAGTGTTTCCCAGAATGTCTAATAGTTGTTGGTAAATTTTGTCCCAGCAAATTTATGGTTGTTGTTTACTGAACATTCCTTCTCGCGTGTTATTGCCAGACTTCCCCAACCCTGGGTTTATACTCATTTGTACTTCTATGTTACCATAAGAGCATCGCATATATACTCATGCCAATACAAGGGGTGCCAATAAAACATGACTGACATGTTCAGAAACCATTTGCAGTCTTCGATTACACCAACAGTATGCACTTAGGTAAAGTAAAAGGACACAAGTGCAACTAATGTGACATTTATTGTGGCAACGTTTCGCTCTCCAGGAACTTTATCAAGCCATTAATGGCTTGATAAAGCTCCTGGAGATCAAAACGTTGCCACAATAAATGTCACATTAGTTGCACTTGTGTCCTTTTACTTTACATATTGTCGGTAATTCTACCAACTTTATTACAGTATGCACTTAGTTGACAAATTAGACATGCAAATTGTGTCTGTGAATTGTAATGATTTTCAAGTGGTGTATGAAAATGATTTTCATCTCTTAGATGTAATACTGCTAAATGCATACAGTATGATCCAAGTTAAACCTGGAAAGAAGCCAAAACTAGTAGTTCCATTTGTCCATCATAAGATAATTCATATATACCATGTGGATCACATGTTGGTGTTATATTGATGAGTGATCCATTTTAGGCGAGGCCTGGTGAGCATGTCCCTTGACTACTTTCCTAGACAGAAAAGAGGACACATGCACAGAAAAGATGGTTTTCTTTTTGTGTGCACTTAAATAACAGGACAGCAGAGATGCATGGTATTACTGTTAACTTTCACTGGCACTATTTAAAAAAATATATATAATTTTTATCTTCTGAAATGGTGGAGAATTTTTTTTTAAAGGTAATGACAAAAAAATGCAAGATTTGATGGAAAACTTATGGAATTAAGCATGCAAAGTATGCATTCCTGGGCCATATTATGTATATGTATAGTAGGTTGGTAGACAGCAACCACCCAGGGAGGTACTACTGTCCTGCCAAGCGAGTGTAAAACGAAAGCCTGTATTTGTTTTACATGATGGTAGGACTGCTGGTGTCTTTTGTGTCTCATAAATACGCAAGATTACAGGTACGTCTTGCTACTTTTACTTTATTAGGTCACACTACACATACATGTACACATTTATTTATACACACTCCTCTGAGTTTTCTTTGATTTTATCTTAATAGTTCTTTTCTTATTACTTTTCCTTTTATATCCATGGGGAAGTGGAATAAGAATCTTTCCTCCGTAAGCCATGTGTGTTGTAAAATATTTTTTTTTTTATCACACTGGCAAGGGTGGCCCGAAAAAGAAAAACTTTCACCATCATTCACTCCATCACTGTCTTGCCAGAAGGGTGCTTTACACTACAGTTTTTAAACTGCAACATTAACACCCCTCCTTCAGAGTGCAGGCACTGTACTTCCCATCTCCAGGACTCAAGTCCGGCCTGCAGGTTTCCCTGAATCCCTTCATAAATGTTACTTTGCTCACACTCCAACAGCACGTCAAGTATTAAAAACCATTTGTCTCCATTCACTCCTATCAAACACGCTCACGCACGCCTGCTGGAAGTCCAAGCCCCTCGCGCACAAAACCTCCTTTACCCCCTCCCTCCAACCTTTCCTAGGCCGACCCTTACCCCGCCTTCCTTCCACTACAGACTGATACACTCTTGAAGTCATTCTGTTTCGCTCCATTCTCTCTCATGTCCGAACCACCTCAACAACCCTTCCTCAGCCCTCTGGACAACAGTTTTGGTAATCCCGCACCTCCTCCTAACTTCCAAACTACGAATTCTCTGCATTATATTCACACCACATTGCCCTCAGACATGACATCTCCACTGCCTCCAGCCTTCTCCTCGCTGCAACATTCATCACCCATGCTTCACACCCATATAAGAGTGTTGGGAAAACTATACTCTCATACATTCCCCTCTTTGCCTCCAAGGACAAAGTTCTTTGTCTCCACAGACTCCTAAGTGCACCACTCACCCTTTTCCCCTCATCAATTCTATGATTCACCTCATCTTTCATAGACCCATCCGCTGACACGTCCACTCCCAAATATCTGAATACATTCACCTCCTCCATACTCTCTCCCTCCAATCTGATATCCAGTCTTTCATCACCTAATATTTTTGTTATCCTCATAACCTTACTCTTTCCTGTATTCACTTTTAATTTTCTTCTTTTGCACACCCTACCAAATTCATCCACCAATCTCTGCAACTTCTCTTCAGAATCTCCCAAGAGCACAGTGTCATCAGCAAAGAGCAACTGTGACAACTCCCACTTTGTGTGATTCTTTATCTTTTAACTCCACGCCTCTTGTCAAGACCCTCGCATTTACTTTTCTTACAACCCCATCTATAAATATATTAAACAACCACGGTGACATCACACATCCTTGTCTAAGGCCTACTTTTACTGGGAAATAATTTCCCTCTTTCCTATGTACTCTAACTTGAGCCTCACTATCCTCGTAAAAACTCTTCACTGCTTTCAGTAACCTACCTCCTACACCATACACTTGCAACATCTGCCACATTGCCCCCCTATCCACCCTGTCATACGCCTTTTCCAAATCCACAAATGCCACAAAGACCTCTTTAGCCTTATCTAAATACTGTTCACTTATATGTTTCACTGTAAACACCTGGTCCACACACCCCCTACCTTTCCTAAAGCCTCCTTGTTCATCTGCTATCCTATTCTGTCTTAATTTTAATTCTTTCAATAATAACTCTACCATACACTTTACCAGGTATACTCAAAAGACTTATCCCCCTATAATTTTTGCACTCTCTTTTGTCCCCTTTGCCTTTATACAAACAAACTATGCATGCTCTCTGCCAATCCCTAGGTACCTTACCCTCTTCCATACATTTATTAAATAATTGCACCAACCACTCCAAAACTATATCCCCACCTGCTTTTAACATTTCTATCTTTATCCCATCAATCCCGGCTGCCTTACCCCCTTTCATTTTACCTACTGCCTCACGAACTTCCCCCCACACTACACAACTGGCTCTTCCTCACTCCTACAAGATGTTATTCCTCCTTGCCCTATACACGAAATCACAGCTTCCCTATCTTCATCAACATTTAACAATTCCTCAAAATATTCTCTCCATCTTCCCAATACCTCTAACTCTCCATTTAATAACTCTCCTCTCCTATTTTTAACTGACAAATCCATTTGTTCTCTAGGCTTCCTTAACTTGTTAATCTCACTCCAAAACTTTTTCTTATTTTCAACAAAATTTGTTGATAACATCTCACCCACTCTCTCATTTGCTCTCTTTTTACATTGCTTCACCACTCTCTTAACCTCTCTCTTTTTCTCCATATACTCTTCCCTCCTTGCATCACTTCTACTTTGTAAAAACTTCTCATATGCTAACTTTTTCTCCCTTACTACTCTCTTTACATCATCATTCCACCAATCGCTCCTCTTCCCTCCCGCACCCACTTTCCTGTAACCACAAACTTCTGCTGAACACTCTAACACTACATTTTTAAACCTACCCCATACCTTTTCGACCCCATTGCCTATGCTCTCATTAGCCCATCTATCCTCCAATAGCTGTTTATATCTTTCCCTAACTGCCTCCTCTTTTAGTTTATAAACCTTCACCTCTCTCTTCCCTGATGCTTCTATTCTCCTTGTATCCCATCTACCTTTTACTCTCAGTGTAGCTACAACTAGAAAGTGATCTGATATATCTGTGGCCCCTCTATAAACATGTACATTCTGAAGTCTACTCAACAGTCTTTTATCTACCAATACATAATCCAACAAACTACTGTCATTTCGCCCTACATCATATCTTGTATACTTATTTATCCTCTTTTTCTTAAAATATGTATTACCTATAACTAAACCCCTTTCTATACAAAGTTCAATCAAAGGGCTCCCATTATCATTTACACCTGGCACCCAAAACTTACCTACCACACCCTTTCTAAAAGTTTCTCCTACTTTAGCATTCAGGTCCCCTACCACAATTACTCTCTCACTTGGTTCAAAGGCTCCTA